CATGCGGCACGAACTAGGTAGTTCGGATTAGGCTTCCTATTCCGAACTACCGGTACACCTCATTCCACGAGGAGTAACGGTAGTTCGGAATAGAAAGCCTAATCCGAACTACCTAGTTCGTGCCGCGTGTAGCCGCGGGCACGGAGTCTGAACTAGCGGACATTTAAAAATGGCGGCACCTGGCAACATGCAAATGAAGCCCGGGAAATTCAAATCCCGGGCTTCATTTGCAACTCTGGTTGCCTACATTAACCCCCCTAGTTCGAACTAGGGTGGTAGTGTAGACAATACCCTAAGGTATTTAGGCATTTAAATCCCACTAGTTTCCAGAACACTTAGGTGCTCAAATAAGTTGAAGTTTCTGGGTCCAAGAGCCTGACTGACCTTTCTTGAGGAACAGCCACAGTGGTGATCTTGTGCTGGACCTAATTTCTAGTCCCTTTACTAGGGTTTGTGCTCAAATACATTTAAGTTTCTGGGTCCAAGAGCCTGTCTGACCTTTCTTGAGGAACAGCCACAGTGGTGATCTTGTGCTGGACCTAATTCCTAGTCCCTTTACTAGGGTTTCATGCAGTTAATATAAATCACTTACATCATGTTTTATGAAGATTGCAAAATTCTGATAGGGATTTCAATGGTCTCAAAGCTTGGGAATGTGAGTATCAAGCTTTTGGTTTGGGAATTATATCCCAATATTTTAAAGTGCTGCTCTGTATCTTTGTTGCTTTCCAAAATATGTACAGATTTGGAACTGAATCTTCCTCGGGGCAAAGGTGTATCTGTCTGTGACACTGGGTTGGGCTCATCTCTTTTAAGTTCTTAAACCAAGATGAGAAATGAAAGATAAATTTCTTTCCAGCTTACTTTTGGCAGTTGGTATCCATCCAGTGTTGTATCCCTTGTTGCCATTCTCGGCACATTTAAAGGCACGATGTTGCTTATCCTTTGCCCTTTGTGAATAACTGCATTGGTGTACGGCATATTGTCCCTGTCCTCTAGGGCTGGCTGTCGAGACTGGCCAATCACTGTGTCAATCTCTACTTGCACTCTCTCTAGGAAAAGAGGAGAGGTCATCATGGGTATGAAGACAAACAATATGTTCATGGAACAACAGGCTTAAACTGGGCAGGAGTCAGAGTTCATTGATTTAAGGTATTCCTAAGAACACTCTATTTACGCTTTGAAAAGAGTATCCGTGAGCAATGTAGATCTAAATATACAAATACATAAGAAAACTGCAGCTGATTAGGCAGAGACTAATGCAACAGGAGGGAGATGAGAAGCATTTTTAAGGGTAACTAAATAATAATAGGAAAACCTCCTTTAAATACCCACACAGAATGCAAGAAGCATTTATTTACTCCACTTCTCAAAATCAAATGTAAAGGCATTATCAATACAAAAGAGCAAAGTAAATTACTGGGCTGACCTTAAGGGACATCTGAGCCTGAAAATATTTATGTGCTGTTTTTCTCAGTCAGGCAACATCCTCCAATTGTTCAGGCACGGGATCTTTGCAATAGATTGTCAAGAGTCCAGGGTTCGACCCTATTTTGCATGACAGGAAGCAGGTTTAATCTGCCATTATTTTCAACACAGGCCCCTTCATAGAATCATAGAATAATAGGACTGGAAGGGACCTCGAGAGGTCATCGAGTCCAGCCCCCCGCCCTCAAGGCAGGACCAAGCTCCGTCTACACCATCCCTGACAGATGTCTATCTAACCTGTTCTTAAATATCTCCAGAGAGGGAGATTCCACCACCTCCCTTGGCAATTTATTCCAATATTTGACCACCCTGACAGTTAGGAATTTTTTCCTAATGTCCAATCTAAACCTCCCCTGCTGCACTTTAAGCCCATTACTCCATGTCCTGTCCTCAGAAACCAAGAGGAACAAATTTTCACCTTCCTCCTTGTGACACCCTTTTAGATATTTGAAAACCACTATCATGTCCCCCCTTAATCTTCTTTTTTCCAAACTAAACAAGCCCAGTTCATGAAGCCTGGCTTCATAGGTCATGTTCTCTAAACCTTTAATCATTCTTGTCGCTCTTCTCTGTACCCTTTCCAATTTCTCCACATCTTTCTTGAAATGTGGCGCCCAGAACTGGACACAGTACTCCAGCTGAGGCCTAACTAGCGCAGAGTAGAGCGGCACCTTGAATCCCAGGCCTATGCATTAGCCACAAAGCCATCTTCCTCTTAAATCAAGGTTGTTACAGCTATGGTTTCCACTCCTTAGCCCTGTGCCAGTTTCTGGAGTGTAACTAATGGGGAGAAAAAAGGAAAAGGTTTTCTGAATGCAAGGAAATGGCAACTGTGGGAAGAAAGCAACTTTGCATAAACTGTTAATAAAACAATATTCTGAATTCTCTGAAAAACTTGATGGGGCAAGGGTTAAGGGCAGAAATTCAAGAGATATTAAGAAATAATCCATGTCCATTTACTTTGAATCTCTGGATTTGTGGCCATGTACAGCAGAGCCCAGCGGATGGTTGTAGATGTTGTTTCAGTTCCAGCAAAAAAAAGATCTAGTGTGGAAAATAAGAGATTTTCTTCATGGAAACTAGGGTCAGCATCCACCTTAGAACAAAGACATAAAGTGGGAGGTATTAAAACAATATTTATTAGTATTATACAAAGACATGTAAACATCATACCAGGCTCAGGTATGCAAACTGCTGGGTGCCCTGCATTTCCACTGCCTTCAGAGAGATTTGAGCAAACACAGCCCCTCACAGGACAGCACCATTAGATAGAAACACTGTGCTTCGGGAATAATTTTTGAGAATGAAAAGTTAGAGCTGATTTTAAGCCTTAGCACAAGGCCTGCTGGTGTCGCTGAAAGAGTCCCAGACACTTTAACTGGTTTTTTGGTCTGGTCCCTAGAACACAGGCAAACCCTTACATTTTTTAGGCCCTAATTCAGAAAAGCACTCAAGCATGTGAGAAGGCCTGCTGACTTCAGTGAACCTACTCTTCCCTGCTTAAGGCAAAGCATGGGCTTAAAGGCTCTGCAGAATCAGCCCCTGAGGTTTTGAACTGTTTACTAATGGAGGGTCAGATGCTCAGACAGCTCAGTTGGAGATCTCTGTCACTGTAGTTCTACTACTAACTTTTAAAATAAAGAAGTGGATTGTTTCTGTTTGTGTGGTTCTCTGATCTCTTACCTTTGCCATTTCCTTCAGATAACAGTCAATGAAGTCTCTGGTTTCTGAGGGATTCCACTCCTCTTTGTGCTTTGCAATAATTTCCCTCACAAAACACTTCAGTTTCCCCCAGTTTTTGAAAATGGTGTGATGGGGTCCTGGGATCCACTTCATTAGGGTGGGAAAGGTGTTGTACAGCTTTTGACATACAAACACAACACAGTGTGTTTTCTCCTCATTTTAGAAAAATCCATCGTATGATTTAATGTACCCCCATGCATTCTATTGGAGACACCACATTTATTAAACCTCCCTAATACATAATTGCATTATAGATATGCTCAGAGCCCTCAGGGGATAGCAGCCCACTATGCTAGGCACTTCACATCTTCATATCAGACAGTATCTTAGCTTAGCAGCCTAGAATTCAAAGAGAGAAAACAATCAAAGGGTGGAAGAAAGGACGAATTAACGTCATTTTACATAGTGAGAATTGACATAGCAAGAGATTAAGTGATTTGGCCACGATTGCACAGGCATCTGTTTCAGAGCCAGACAGTGAGAGCACTGTTTTAACCACCAGCCCTCTGCTGGGCTGGTTATCAGCCACTTCTCCCAAATTGCTTTGGCAACCCTAGAGCAGGGGTGGGCAATAATTTTTGGTGGGGTTGGCCACTCCAGGATTTTTGTAAGTGGTCCAGAGCTGCACTTTTCTGTGGATGGGTGTGGGGTCTAGGATGGAACTTGAGTGCAGAAAGGCATAAAGAGTAAGTTATTGGGGGTGCAAGAGATGCTGTGAGGTATGAGAGGGAATTTGGGTGAAAGAGAGGGTTGTGACCTGGGTCAGGGGATTGGGGTATAAAGTCAGGGAGGAAGTGTGGGAGCACGAGAGGATTCTGGCCTGCAGAGCAGTGTAGGAGGGGGTACAGGGTCTGGAAGGGAGTTGTGACTTGAGGCAAGGATGTGCACAGGGTTTGGGTGGTGACCTGGAGTTGGGGTGTGTGAAGGGAAGTGATGCCAGTGTCAGGTTTTGGCTGGGAGGTGATTACCTAAGTGTCTTCCAGCCAGCAGCCCTGCAGCATCTCCCAGGCATGCTGGGATGCCTGCCTGCTGCAGCTCCAGTTCACTTAAAACTGCAGGCTACTCTCTCCATGTCGCTCTCAGCTCCAGAAGAGGGGAGAGGGTTGGCTGCCCCCATTTCCCAGGCGATTCTCTCTCTTTTTCTATTGACTAGTTGTTTCCTCCCAATAGAAGGTGACGATTGGGTGGGAATGGGGAGACCACACAAAACCTCCCCCTTCCTTCAGAGCAGAGAGCCACAAGAAATAGTTCTGCACGTCAAATAGCAACTGCTGTGTGACTGAGCATCCCGGCAGGGGGGTCCGCACGCTGGGTCCCATGGCTGGGTGGGCTGGAAGCAGCCCGCAGGACATATCTTGCTCACCCCTACCCCACAGGATCATGTGCTGTATTGCCTGAGGCTATGCGATAGTAGTCACTTCAGAAGGGAGGAGACCACCTTGTTAATGATTTGTTGATTGAAACGCCAGGAAAAATACAAAAAGTTCATTACCCCAGAACTTGGCCTCACATGCCGACACATGATGTTGATACTATTGATGTTACCGCAATTTTTATTAGAGGTTGGACTTTGGTATTGAAGGGTTGGTAAAACACATGGGAAACTTCCCAGGCGCAGCACCATGAGAAGATGGACACAGGCACATGAATGCTGCTGTCCTGGCAGGGTTATGTCTCAGCCCCGTCACTCTTCGGTGCTGAACTAAGAGGCACCAAGAGGAGAAAGGTCCAACCTCATTTGGGTAACGTGTCCCTGGAAACCTGGGTTTTTGGTCCATCTCAGTGATCCAGCATCATTATGAAACACAGTGCTTTGTCCCTGCAAATGGGGCCACCTGAAGGAGCTGCTAGCTAGGTAAGCCCCTGACTTTGATGGAAGATCGACTCTGCCTCCAGGGTCATCTTTCACCTGGCCTGTTGCACAAAGACACCCTGCCACCCCCACTGCCGCAAAAGTATCCAGAAAATCTACGGCGCCACACAAGTCTTTGAGATATCTCTCCCCGAGCAGAGTCCAAGGCACTGGGAGACAGCCAGGAAGGGTGTTGCTTGGGAACAGTGAGGGTTTGTGACCCTTTCGCCTTCCTTGCTCCTAGGCACACCTCGCTGATGATCACTAAAACAGGCTACTGAGTCTTCATCCCCATTAGACATCGCACTCTGTGCATGGTGGGAGGGGGCACTGGTACCGAAAATTCAGACTAGAGGATCTGGCAGGATTACCTTCAGGGGGACATGGTGGAAGAGAATAGATAGAGGGGAAACTGAGGTGGAAAGAGATTTGTTGGGAAATAGGACAGCAAAGATGCCTTAGGCAGGATAATGTCACAGTTAATTTTGGACCAACAGGACTCTGGCACTGAAACTACTGGGAGTGTGGCCATTGAGTTCATGTGGTTAAAGGCTAAATCAAATAAGATCTACCTGGTTCCAAATACTTCCCTGGAGATAGAAATTCTCATCAATCAGTCGCAGTAACTTCTGGAACTGACTGTCATGATATTCAAACCGGTCCCCGAATGTGATGGAGCAGATAATGTTGGAAACAGCATTGTTAATTTTAAAATGAGGGTCAAAAGGTTGCTCTGGAAGTGAAAAAGGGAGAAATTGGGTTTCTTCTGGATTTTGTAGAAAAGGGAAGAAAGCTGTTGATAGGCATAAACTATTTGATGTGCATGAAATCCATTTTCAAAATGTGCATCTATCACACTATCCCCCCCACACACTCTCAGACACATCCCTTCAGCAATGTTCGCTGCATTGTCACCTGAGTATTGACAAAACTGTTAAAAATGTAGATGGAATTAGCTGCCTTTTGCTGCATGGAGCAGAACTGCCGGTTCAAGTCAGTTTTTTCTCTGCATAAAGACATTTGTACATTTCCACACAGGTCTCTACACATGTGTTATTATGAACCACTCCCTAGTCATTAATCTTGGCACTTTTGTGAGACAGTTTGCAAATCTGTGTGGCTACCTGGAGGCTGAAGCGAAGCTGACAGCTCAGCATTTAGTGTCATTACTGACATATAAAAGCATGAAATCCCAAAACCACCAAACTTCAATATCTGTATACAGATCTGGACCATGACAGCAAGGTGCATGTGTGTCTAATAGGCTGAACTAAATCCCTCATCTTAAATGCGTGCTAGAAAAGATCTCGATTTAATTTCTTATTTCAGGCAAATGTCAGTTATTTCACATTCGTGGCTACAATTTTTCATAGAAACTTAGTGTGTCATTCGCTCTCATTCTCACCTTTTTCTTCTTCAAATGCCTCTGTGAGGTATCTGTTCTCCTCCTGTATGCGTTCTTCTAAGCTCCTCTTCCCCAGGCCAAAGTTTCTTAGAGTTGATAAAGCAAATCTTCTTTGTTGTTTCCAGTTATGTCCATTGGAGAATACTAATCCTGGGGTGAAAAATGACAACTGGTGCATTGTAATGGTCATTACTTTAATACTCTCCTTTTTCAAGTTTAATTGAGGCCTGGTTATTTTTCCACAAGATATTCTCTTCTGTTCTGTTATGTTCCCTATGCTCATCATTAGTATATGAGGGTATGTCCTCGCTTGCATCCTAAGTCGAACTAGGGCTGCAAATGTAGGCATTCCAAATTGCAAATCAAGCCCGGGATCAAAATATCCCATGCTTGATTTGCATGTTCCCAGCCAGGTGCCATTTTTTGAAATTGACAATCCCGGAATAACTGCCCGCGTCTACATGAGGCAGTGAAACGGGTATTCGAAATAAATCCCTAGTTCAAAATACCTGTTAAACCTCATTGCAGGAGGAATAATAGGTATTTCAAACTAGGCCTTTATTTCGTACGCCCATTTCACTCCCACATGTAGATGCGGGCAGTTATTCCGGGCTTGTCAATTCCAAAAAATGGAGCCCGGCCAGGAAATGCAAATCAAACATGGCATATTTAGATCCCAGGCTTCATTTGCAATTTTGAATGCCTACATTTGCAGCCCTATTTCAAATTAGGATGCAAGTGTAAACATACCCCCAGAGTGCCTGGGCCGCTAGTAAAAGTGGGGTCATGTCTGACATGCAGAAGCTACACTTTTACAGAAAGTATATAGAACTTATAGAAAATAAGTTTGGAGATGTAATTTTGAGAGATTTCAGAAGCTTAATCCTTCCACTACTGACTCTTGGCGAAGGAAAATTTTCAAGGGACCATGCAGGATGGAAGTTCATTCTATATGCCCCCATCTGCTGTTGCTGCCACCAAGGCTATGGCAGTTGGCATGTGAACATGAGAGGTCAAAGAAACATGAGAACCTGTGTAATATTTGCAAAATCGAATCAAGTTATTAAGGCCCAGATTTGCAAAGGTATTTAGATGTCTAACTCCAGTTGATTCCTCTAGTTGTCTGGCAGTGGGAATGGGGTGTATCAATCCTGCACTGGTATAGCAGGGGTTAACCTTTCTCTCTTGGCTGAGGAGGCCACACCCCCTCAGCTCCACTGGGCATTCTCCAGCTGGAGAGAGGATATAAAAGGCAGCAGAACAGCTCAGTCTGGGCTGATGAGGAAGGAGGTGTCCTCTTGACTCCTGTGGGAGAGCTGCCCTCAGTGCAGGATGTGGAGCCTAGACAGCCGGAGATGGACCCCTACACACAGACTTGAGATGCCACAGAGAAGGGAGTTACTGTGGAGACCCAGAAATAGTGAACTGCAAAGAGTTGGGTAGAAGGTAACCAGGGAAACTTGGTGATGAAGAACTAGAGACAAGCTCAGTGAGGTTTGGTAGGGAACCTGCCTTGGGTTCAGAATCTGGTGGAGAGGGCAGGCATGATTCCCACCTCGAAACTCGTGGTCTGGCTTACTAACAGTATTGATTCTGGTCTCTATGCTGCACTGTCCTGATGGCAGGGGTCCATATGATTGACTCTGGCTGCCCTTATTGCAGGCATCATATCACTGACTTAGGCAACAGGGCCATGCAGCCCCAAGACTGGGGGCATCCCTAGAGAGGCAAGCACAGGCTATAACGCAGCCTGACCCCAACCCCAAAAGAGTGACTGGCATATCAACCCTGTGATAGACACCTAAACACCTTTGAGAATCTGGTCCTAGATTATTACTGTAGCACAGACTTCAGTTCATACACATAAAGTGTAACCCATTTGCAGGATCAGGGTCTTCATTTTCAGAAACGGTACGTGAGAAATGCTGGAAAAAAAACTCACCAAATGACTTGCTTAATTCCTGGATAAGAGGCATGTCTGGGCGATCAAGAAAGTCATCGCCCTGATGGACAAGCACTTCCTTCACCAGCTGGAATCCATTTACAATCACAAATTTCAGGTTACCCAACTGCAGGCTGAAAATGTTGCCATATTTTTCAGCAAGCTGGAAAAATTAGAGCATGTGCATTAATTCATGTTTATTTAGTATGAAACCAGAACTAGAGCTCAGGTGTTGACTTCTTACTTTTATTATTGTAGTACTACTCCTACTTATTTGTATTACAATAGCAAGGAAGAGCCTGGCTGTTCAAGCACTGATTCAAAAGCCAGCGCCTGAGAGCTCACAACAGGATAGAACAGGGGAATGATGCATAGAAATGGGGAGGGGAATGAGACAACAGTAAAACAAGCATATCTAAGGACAATGGCTGCCCTGAGCCTTTTCCTAAGGGATGTCAAAATAAAACTACTGGTGAGTAAAATAATAATACCTGTAAATAAAATAATAATAATAATAAATTAATAATGTTTCATCTGAAGATATGGGTCAGGGCCACGAAAGCTCATGATACCATCTAGATGTTTGGTCTTGAAGTTGGTACTAGACTATACATTGTTTTTAAGAAATTTTTTTTTTTTAATAAATAATAGCTATTGACAATTGGCCTTCTCTGTGGTAAGCAGAGCAGACATGTTCCTGACTGGTCGCATTATAGACTGCAGATACTTTGTTCTTATGTAGTGAAAAAACTCAAACATACTGGTTTAAACAAAACACCCCCCAGTTCCGAGAGAAGCCTACACCCACCTCACAATGAACTATGCATCTCCCTGGGGCACTCAGAGGGTGTGGCTGAAAGCTGCACAAAACAAATTACTGACTTCCACAGAGTTTGTGACGGGAACCCATCCTAGTGCTTGAAAGGAGATGACATTCACAAATAATGTGCTAAACTCTTTTAGGCTTCATAATTTACTTTGTAACTCTGATTACCTCCCTCTCAATCACATCCTTCCTCACTTGCCAGGGAGGTTCCACCTCTGGCCCAACTCCCCATGTGCCTTACAAGTTTTTACTAACTCTTCATTGTTGGGAAGCTCATTCAAAGCCATGTAAATAAATTCCTACAAGCCGTTTTGCATTGTCACTGAAGACTCCTTGTCATTCTTGCAAGCTCCTGCCCCATCTAGTTCCTTGTGAGCTCCTCCAATCCTGATGAGCACCAACCTCATACCGTACACGGATCCAAGTCTCAGTCTCTGTCTCCCTATACTTGGTTACTTTTTATGAGCCTCTTTTCACATGGCAAATGTTTACGGGCCTGCTCATCAAACTGCCCAACCTCCTGCACACAGTGCAAGCCTCCTGTATAGTCACAACTCCCCACTGGCTGCCTCCTAACCATGAGGCACTGTAAAATCCCTCAGACACTGCCACCCACATGTAAGCAGGCCTGTATTCATAAGCTCATCAAGTCTAATTCAAACTGTGCCCCCAGCAGAAAGCAGACAGATGCCTGGAAGGTCCTACCTTCTGAGGATTTCCATGTGGAAAGTAGGGATGTAAGCGAATAGTTGTCTAGTCAATTATCCGAAAAGCCTGGGCTTGTTGGGTAGTCAGCTACTCGCATTACCCCCACCCTTGCAACAGGCAACAAATGGGGGGGCATGTACAGTAGCTGGTGGTGGGCGAACGGGCTGTAAGCCAGCTCCGCTCAGCACCGTCTCTGCTGCATTTCCTTCCCCCTCCCCACTCCGTCTATCAGAGGCAGCAGCGCAGGGGATGGAGGAGAGGGAGAGGAAAAGGGAGGTTTCTGCGAAGCAGGCTCTGCCCATGATGGAATCAGGCTTGACACAGGTAGAGGCTGGTCGGGAAGGAGCCCTTGTCCCTCTGGGATCCCCCACAGACAGGTTCTAGTGCTATGAAGCAGCTGCTATCCTCAGAGTCCTGGGCTGGCTGTGGGCAGAGGTTGATCTGGCAGCAGCCCCTGTCCATTGGGCATCCGAGTTCCCCACTGGGACACCCAGCAGGCTGAGACTCCTGGATCCAGCATGAGCCGGGACTGAACAAGCCCAGCTCAGTCCCGGCTCACACTGGCACGAGGAGCAATCCCTGCTGCTGCTCTGCAGTTTAAATGTATAGAAGCCCACCCGGCTCTTACTACAAATCAACTGCAGAGCTGCTGAGTGGGAGTAGCTCCCAGACCTGGTGCAAGCCAGGACTAAACGCCTTCCCCCGTCGATTAATCATGTAGTTTATAAAAATTCTATGGACTACGTGATTCATTAAATACCTACCCGTGGAAAGGAATCCACAACTGGGACCCTCACCTTCTTCACATGACAGAGGGAAAAGGAGCATGGCCAGAGGTGTCCCCGTGCTCTGGTGATCCTGGATAGCAGGCGTCTGGAACTGCACACGGGACAGCTAGGAGCTGGTGCAATTCAGAACATCTAGAATGGGCTCTTATTTAGGCCAGGGGCTAGCGCGGCACCAGGAGAACCCTGAGGCCCTGGCAGTGCAGAAAGCTGCTGCCATGAGCTGTGCCAAACATTCCTCAGGCGCAGGTGAGAGTCTGAGTCAGTGTCTCCAGCACTCTTGCAGACAGAACTCTCTGTGCTTGCTCCCCTACCCCACTTACCTTCTCAATGGCGATATGAGGCTTTTTGACATCCATGTGGAGTAGGTTGCCCAGGAAGGGCAGAAACAAAGGTCCCGGTGGGAAATTCCTCGGTCGTCTCCTTTTCATGACATCGGAAATCAAAAACAGGCCCAAGAACACGGCCAGTGTCTGAAAGGGCACAATCTGCCAGAGCCACAGTAACCCAGGGGCAGCCTGCAGCGGCATTTTCCCTGGCCAGATGTGCACCTGCAGCTGAAAGAGGAAAGTGTGACAGGGGCAGAGGGAAACCCGGTTGCAGCGGGCCCAGGCCCACCCTCCTGCTGCTTGTGCCAAAGGAGGACAAAGTTTACAAGCCAGATGAAAACAACTTGAAATAGGTAAACAAGAGCTTCCCATGCCAGAGTCTTAACCCAGAAACTCTGCTAAGTTTCCCATTGTGGTTCCTTAAACTCATCAGCAAAGATCAGTCAGATTTTTCCTCATTAGTTCTCATTTTCACCCAGCTGTTTTAAAAAAATCATTCACAAAATATCTCCTCCCCCTTTCTCTATCATTAAAAATATCTAGTAGAACCACATTGTCTACAAATCTAGTAGTCAGGAATGCAAAAGATCTTCTTACAGTGTGTATTAAATGTTTTGAAAACAGCATTCTCTTCTCCCCCATTCTCTATTACAGGGGTGGGCAATAACTTTTGGTGGAGAGACCACTCCTAGATGTTGGAAAGTGGTCAAGAGCTGCATTTTTCTGTTGGGGTCTAGGATGGATGTTGGGTGCAGAAGGGCACATATGGTACGGGCCTTGGGTGCAGGAGACAGTGTGAGACCTGAGAGGGCATGTCTACACTGCAATGTTAATTCGATATAACAGTCTTTATTTCGAATTAACTTTAGTAGCATCTATACATGCAAACCGCTATTTCGAAATTAATTCAAAATAGCGGAGCGCTTAATTTGAATTTGATAAACCTCATTCTACAAGAAGTAACGCCAAATTCAAAATAGCTATTTCGAAATAAGTGCTGTGTAGACACTTAATTCGAAATAAGGGGCCTCCAGACCTTCCCAGTTTCCCCTGGTGACCGCTCTGGGCCAAACCAGGAAAACTCTTCTCCTCTCCCCCAGCCCAGGAGCCCTTAAAGGGCTCTACACGTGCCAGAGCCAGACCTGGCAGCAGTCTCTGCCCCTGACCCAGTAGCCCTATAATGAGCCAAGCAGCCAGTGCTAGCCAGCTGTCCCTGACCCAGTCCCCCAGCACCCAGGGGCCAGCCATGGGCCGTATAAAGCGCACGCCCGCCCGCCTGGAGAGATCCAGGTGCAGAGATCATGGACCTCATAGAGGTTTGGGGGGAGGCCCTCAATGTCCATGATCTCCACACCAGGAGGAGGAACATGCCCGTCTGTGGCTGCATAGCGGGCACCATGGCCCAGAAAGGGCACAGGTACACTCAGAAGCAGGTGCTCCTGAAAATTAAAGAGCTGCGGCAGGGGTTCCCCAGGGCCACCAGGGGCGGTGGCGCAGCAGGGGCTGACACCTGCCCCAACTTCCCCACCCTCGACCACATCCTGGGGGGCAGCAAGCTGGGACCAGAGGGCCCTGACCCAGGTGTGGCAGAGGGGCCAGCACGGAGGGTGCCACACCAGCGGGACCCCCGAGCTGTCCCGACACCAGAGTCAGCAGGATCATCAGGGAAGGCCACACCAGGTAAGTGCCATTACGGTCTCCTACCCGGGCGGGCGGAGACAGGAAGGGAGACCAGGGACTGTGCGCATGGGCCATAGCTCCCACGGATCATGCAGCCACCTGTGCACATGCAGGCACGTGCCGTGCCACTCTTGGGAAGGTGGCTCCAGCTACGTGCCACACAGGGGCCATGGCCCGATAGCCACACGCAAGTGTGAAGAGACCTGTCATGCTCCCGACCTCAGGGTGGAACCCAGCATGACGCCCTCCCTTCTCACGCCCCCTCTACACAGAGGCAGGGGACATCTCTCCCCTCTCCCCCCGGCCTCGGCCGCACTATACATGGCACAGGGGCATAGGTGCGGTCTTGGGGCAGCTCCCACTCCTGGGGAGAGCCAGACATCTCGACCATATCCTCTGTGCAAGCACGTTGGCTCTGATGGTGCAGGGCACGGTCGCCCGCACCTCACAGGGGGCACTGGGCATCATCCACTGTGTCCCCAGGGAGAACTGACCACTCCCCTTCTTTCTCCACAGCCGCACCAGCTGCACGTGCAGGGTGCACCATCCCGCCTGGGACATGCTCCTCTGGACCACCATCACGCAGCAGGGGTACTGGGACCAATACCTAGGGGCCCTGCAAGCCCTGCACCTCACCATTCTGGGTTGGGTGCAGGAGAACCTGCAGCTCCGCTGGGAGGAGCTTGCCAGGACCATGCCCTGTGCTCACACCTGCAGATCCTGCTGCAGAGCGTGCTGCCCCGTGCCGCCCCAGCACCTGCTGCCCCCCCCAGCTACTGTTCCTCTTCCCACTCCTGCTCCCCCACCTCTCCCTCCTCACCCCTCTCCTCAATCTCCACACCCCCCACCTCAACCTCCACACCCTCCTCCCCATCCCCCCAGGGACACCGAGGCCCCCGCACCTGCCGTGCTGGGAGACATGTGGCCCAATAAGACCCCCCCACCCCTGAGTGCTGAGCTTCCTCTCCTTCCTCCCCTTGCTTCCCTCTTCCAGCTCCCTCCTCCCAGTTTTCCCCCTCTCGTCTCCCATCCTCTCTCCTTCCGTCTCCCGCCTCCTTTCCCCAGTCTCCCCAGAGTTTCGTTTCCCCTCCCCAGTTTTGTTAAAAAAAGACAGTTCATGTTTATGAAAAAAAGTGACTTTTATTTGACATCAGGAAGGGGGCCTAGGGAGGAGTAAATGGAAGGACATGAGGGAGGAATGCGGTACGAACCCCCAGTGGAGACGACCGGAGTGGCTCTGAGGGCTCCTCAGGGTGGACGCTCCCCCGCAGGGCCTCCTGGATCCTGACAATCCCCTGATGGACCCCTCCGGATGGCAGCCTGCAGCAAGTGCATCTGGGATGTTGGCAACGACCCCACGGGATGCACAGGTGTGCCCAGGGGCAGCTCTGGCTCCGTGTGGCCGAGTGCTGTGGAGTCCTGAGTGCGGGCACTCATGGCACTCCAAGACTGGTCTGCTTTGTTGTCCATCACTGAGGTAGACAAGCAAGTGGGGAACCCTGAGAACTGTCTCTCTGGGGCGGGGGTAGGGTTCCTTTAAGCACAGAGCTCAGTTAGCCTCAGGCAGCAGCCCCACACACTGGCTGCATCTAGACTGGCATGATTTTCCGCAAATGCTTTTAACGGAAAAGTTTTTCTGTTAAAAGCAATTGTGGAAAAGAGCGTCTAGATTGGCACAGATGTTTTTGCGCAATCTAGACGCGGTTTTGCGCAAGAAAGCCCCTATTGCCATTTTCGCCATCGGGGCTTTTTTGCACAAAACAGTTTTTACCTGTCTACACTGGCCCTCCTGCACAAAAGCATTTGCGCAAGAGGGCTTTTTCCCGAGCGGGAGCATCATAGTATTTGTGGAAGAACACTGTCAATATTACATTAGATTGTCAGTGTTCTTGCGCAAATTCAAGTGGCCAGTGTAGACAGCTGGCAACTTTTTCCGGAAAAGCACTTGCTTTTGCAGAAAAACTTGCCAGTCTAGACGCAGCCACTAAGTCCTAACCTGATGCCTTCCCGGCACTGGTTCCGGCCAGCCTTAACTTCGGTTCAGGGTCCACTCAGTGTGGATGCGCTATTTTGAAATAGCAAAATGATATTTCAAAATAGGTTTTGTGTATAAATGCATTATTTTGAATTAGCTTAATTCGAATTAACAATTTTGAATTAAGTTAACTCAAATTAACGCTGTAGTGTAGACATACCCAGAGGCAGTTTGGATGAAGAAGGGGGTTGAGACCTGGGTCAGGGGATTGGTGTGTAGGGTCAGGGAGGGATCTGGATGCGGGAGAGGATTCTGGCCCGGGGAAGAGGTGTACGAGGGGGTATATTAGACTTCTTAATTCGAACTAGCTGTACTCCTCATTCCACGAGGAGTAAGCTAGTTCGGATTAGAAGCCTAATCCAAACTAGCTACTCCCTGCCGCGTGTAGCCGCGCGGCACGGGACTGAGTAGCTAGTTTGGATTAGACTTCTTAATTCGAACTAGCTGTACTCCTCATTCCACGAGGAGTAAGCTAGTTCGGATTAGAAGCCTAATCCAAACTAGCTACTCCGTGCCGCGTGTAGCCGCGCGGCACGGGGTTCGAACTAGCCGGCATTTAAAAATGGCGCCGGCCGGCTTTATGCAAATGAAGCCCGGGAAATTCAAATACCGGGCTTCATTTGCAATTGCGGATGACTACATTACCCCGCTAGTTCGAACTAGCGGGGTAGTGTAGACATACCCTAAGGGAGTTGTGACCTGGGGCAGGGAGGAGCAGAGGGTTTGGATGGTGACTTGGGGCAGAGAGTTGAGGTGCAGGAGGCTCAGAGGTCCCTGAGGAGGCTTTGGCTGGGAGGCACTTACCTACACATCTCCTGGCCAGCAGCCTTGCAGCACCCCCAAGGCAAACTGAGCTCCCTGCCTGATGCAGCCCCAGATCACTTGGAACTGCAGGCTGCTCCCTCCATGTGACTCCCAGCCCCAAGAGAGGAGAGAGGCTTCTGTTTGCCCCATCCCCCGGGCCAGTCTCTCAGCTCCTTTTGGCTGCTTGTTCCCAATTATAGAAGCTGAGGATTGGGCTGGGGGTGAGGTGACCACATGAAGCTTCCCCCTCCCTCCAGAAGACAGAGCCACATAGAGTAGGGATGTGAAAAGCTAGTCAACTAGTCAACCAATTGCTTCCCTCATCCCTTGCTGCCTCTATCATTAAGGGCACCCAGGGGGTGGGAAAGAGGAGGGGGAGCTTCAAAGCGGCAGGGTCACATGGAGCCTGGGGTCTGCTGCTTTCAAACTCCATGTGGAGCCGAAATCCCTGACTGGCCACGGGCTGCATGAGGTATTTCAAAGTGGAAGTACTACATGGAGCTTAAGGTCAGCGGGGTACTCCCCTGCTGATTCTGGTCTCCATGCGGCGCTGCTGCTTTGAAATGACGTGAGGAGTAAAATGTCATTCAGGGACTGGTTAAGTGCCCAGCTGTAAACTAACTAAAATAAGGCAAATGTGCTGAGAAAATGGTAATAGAACAGCCATTCGGAGACTGTGTTGAAATGTTCTGGTGGGCTGTGTGAGACCG